TTTATCATAAATGTGTGTTGGATTTTGTGAAATGCTTTTCTGTATCTATTGAGATGGTATATGGTTTTTGTCCTTTAGTCTATTAATACAGTGTTTTACATTGATTTTTTTTTAAATGTTAAACCAACCTTGCATTCATGGTATACAATCCCTCAGGTATTGCTGGGTTTGGTTTGCTAACACTTTTTTGGGAATTTCTGTATGTTCATGAGGGATATTGATCTGTAGCTTCCTTTTCTTGCAATGTCTTTATCTGAATTTGGTATCAGGGTAATAAACATCTTCATAAAATGTGTTTAGACATGATCTGTCCTCTATTTCAGAAATAGTTTGTGTATGGGTGTATCGATTCTTAAGTATTTGATTGAATTCACCAGCGACTCTATCTGGGTCTGGGCTTTTCTTTGTGATACTTTAAAGTAGTAATTCAATTTCTTTACATGTTATATATAGTCTGTTATAGGCTGAACTATGTCACCCAAAAAGATATGCTGAAGTCTTAACCCCCAGTACCTCAGAATGTGTTCATATTTGGAAATAGGGTCACTGCAGATGTAATTAGTCAAAATGAGGTCATACTGGAGTAGACTGAGCTCTTAATCCTTTATCACTGGTGTCCTAATAATAAGAAGAGGAGACAGACAAATGAGGAGAGAATGCCATGTGTTATTGGAGACAGAGATGAAGCTGATGGAGCTGCAAGCCAAAAAACACCAAGGACTGCCTGCAAACGACCAGATGCTCGAGTCAAGGAAGGACCCTCCCTTACAAGTTCCAGAGAACTTAGTTCTGTCAACACCTTGATCTTGGACTTCTAGCCTCCAGAACTGTAAGATACATTTCCATTGTTTTAAGCCACCTAGTTTATAGTACTTTGTTATGGCAGCCCTAGGAAACTAATATAAACTCTTTTTCAGATATTTTCTTAATTCAGTTTTGGCAATTTGTGTTTTTCTAGGAATTTGCCCAATTCATTTACATTGTCTAATTTGGCATAAAATTATTCATAGTCCCTTTTAATTTTGGTAGAGTGGGTAGTGATGTATCGCTTCCATTTCTGATTTTAATCATTTGTGTCTTCTTTGTTTTGGTTAGCTTAATAAAAAGGTTTGTCAATTTTTTTATTTTTACAAAGAACCAACTTTTATTTTCATTTTCTCTATTTTTCTCTTATCTATGTCATTAGTTTCTAGTATCATTTCCTCCCTTTTGCTTGCCAATGGCTTTAAATTGATCTTATTTTTCTAGTTTTTAAAGTGGAAGCCTAGAATATTGTGACTTTTCTAATATAGGTGTTTAAAGCAGTAAATACGCTTCAGATCACTGTTTTAGTTGCATATGTTTAGAAACAAAAATTTCAATGTTTTCATTTTATCTCAGTTTAAAACATTTTCTAATTTCCTCTGTTACTTTTCCTTTGGCCCATGAATAATTTCCCAGTATTTGAGGATTTTCCAAATTTCTATTGTATTTGTAATATAATTCCACTGTAATTAGAGATATACTTTGCATGATCCTAACCTTTTAAAATTTATTGAGACTTGTTTTATGGCTTGCCATATGGACTATCCTGGAGAATACACTTCTTAAAAATAATATAAATCTTGATGACATTAAGTACCGTGGTATATGTCAATTAGGTTGATAGTGTTTAAAGCTTCTATAGCCTTAATGGTTTCCTGTCTAGTTGTTCTACCCATTATTGAGAGCAGGATACTGAAATATCAAATTGATTGTCTATTTCTCCATTCAATTCTATCAATTTTTGCTTCATGTATTTAGGGCTCTGTTGTTGGGTACATGTACATTTCTAATTATTATATCTTTTTGATGTATTGACTCTTTTATCATTATGAAATATTTCTTGTCTTAAAGTCTTTTTTGTCTGCTATCAGTATAGCCAATGCAAATAAATTATGGTTAGTTTGCATGGTCTATCACTGTTAAATATTGTTAATCTTATCATATGCAATTTTGTACTTTTATAGTTCTTAAATTGTTCTTGAATTAATTTGCAAGCTTTTCACAAGAAAGCTATAATTTTCTTTTTTTAAAAAATTGGGGAATTAAGGGAGGGGAACAGTGTTGGGGAATTGGGGAGGAGGACCAGCCAAGTTGTTGTTCTTCAATCTTATTTATGGAGGGCACCAGTCACCATCTGGCTGCCTATCAGCAGCTCGTGGCCTCTAACCTCAAGGTGCTGTGTTACAATCTTAGTTGCGGGTGGGCGTAGCCACCATCCCATGTGGGAGTCGAACCAGCAGCCTTTTTGTTAAAAGCACATGCTCTATCCACTGAGCCATCCGGGTGGCAGCTCAGCTCAAGGTGCCTCCAGTTCAGTCTTAGTTGCAGGCGGGCATACCCCACCATCAAACAGGCAGTCTTGTTGTTAGGAGCACGTGCTCTCACCAGCTGAGCCATCCTGCCACCTGTTAACAGCTCAGCGGCAGCTCAGCTTGGGCACAGTATCACTGGCCCACGTGGGAATCGAACCGGCGGCCCTGTTGCTCAGAGCTCGCGCTCTTAAGCTCTTAACCAACTGAGCCACTCGGCCCTATAAATTCTTTTATCAGTTTATACATCCTGGGGTACAGTGTTGGGTATAACAATAATCCTTTAAAAGTAGATACCCAAACAAGCTCCTCTTTAAAAAAATAATCCAATTGTGTTATTTGCTCATGGCGTTGTTGCCTGATATTCTCTCACCTTCATGCCAGGTTTTGAAAGATTGACACTCATCTGCCTTCGTGACAGTTCCAGTCCTAGATTTATAAACTGTACAAAAGTTGTTACCACAACTCCTCCATTCGGACACAAGAACCACATTTTAGGAACACTCATTTAAGTCAAATGGCTTATTTCCAGGTATTGTTGCTGTCCTGCAAACCTTTGATAAAAACAGAACATTGTTCAGACCATTAGACAGGTCTCAAATATTATACACAATGTGCATAATGCTTTTTCTCATGATTAACATTCATGAATACTTTTGAGCTTTTAAGAATCATCTTACAGAGCAATGTAACAACTGCCTAACTTTAGTGTTTAAGGACTTATGGCATTGAGTCTTTGATATTTTTAAGCCTTGCTTCCGTGAAAGGATGCTGCTGACTGCCTCATGAGTTAATGTTTAAGATATACAATTATTACTCAAGTGATCTGTTTGTCAATTTAAGTGGGACTTGAGTATGATACAATATGTTTCAATTTTTCAATAGGAACTTAAAAAGTTCTTGTCTGCTCAGTAACTCATATAGGACAAAAAAGTCAATTTTTAAAAGGTAGGCTTTTTTGGTCCTCTCAAATTTCTATGAATATTTTCACTGATAACATTTGAAATTGAATATAATTGTCTAAGTATATTCTTAACCCTTACACATAACATTTTAATGAGATTACTGTATTGAGACTTCTTGATTTGTGGCTCCCTTAAAATCACCTCTGTATTTGATATAAGGACAAAAAAATGATGCAATTATAGAAAGGTATAAAAGGTGTTAGAGGCTAGGAGATAGGATGAGTATTAATTGAATTGATGCATATGATTATGGATCACAAGGATAAATGAGGCCCCCTTCTTTCTGAAAAATTACATTAATTTTTTTTTCTAGACAAATACATAAATTACTGCTGTAGGCAATTCACCTTTTCACCCTCTTGTTCAATTGACTTTCTATTTCCAAGAATGCAGTCTGTCATCCTCAGCCAAACTTTCTGCCCAGTACATTGTTAGAAGGGGTAAGTTGTAAGGCTCAAGGAACATATACTTGCATATTGCTGAGAATCCTCTTTATCATTTGAAAGCCTGTTACATACCCAACTTCAATGTACAAACTTAAATTTTCATTTAAATTGCAAACTCTAATATTTCCACGAAAAGTTCTTGTAGTACATAATAACAAAAGATAACCCAAACTGTTCTGATTTAGGCGGGTTTCAAGTAGAATAAGCTAAAGACAGCTGCCACAACTTCCAATAAATAACAGAGCAGCATAAAACCACCTGCNCGACCCTCAGTTCTAGTCAACTACGATCTGTTTGTCTCAATGGATTTACCTTTTCTGGACATTTCATATGTAGAGAATTAAACAATATATAGTCTTTTGGGTCTGGTTTCCTCTCAATTAGCATGCTATTTTTGAGGTTCCTGCATGTTGTAGATGAATCAATCGTTTGTGTCTTTTTTATTGCTTTATTCAACAGTTGATAAGCATTTGGATTGTTTGCAGGTTGTGGCAGTTATGAGTAATAATGCTATGACATTTGCATACAAGTCTTTAGTGGACATATGCTTTATTTCTCTGGGGTAGTTTCCTAAGAGTCAAATTGCTGGGTTCATATCATAAACATATGCATAACTTTTGGAAAACCTGCCTATTTTCTAAAGTGGCCACATCATTTTACATTCTTACTAGTAATGCGTGAGAATTCATTTCTCCACGTTCTTGTCATAGTTCTTTTTTTGTAGTTATTGTCACTCCATGGGGTGTGAGGTAGTATCTCATGTGACTTTAATTGGCATCTTTCTAATGACTAGTGATGGGAAAATTTTAATATGTTTATTAGTTATTCACTTCTTTTGTGAAGTATCTATTCAAATCTTTTGCCCACTTTTTATTTTTCATTATTATTTTTTCATTTTTTTAGTTTCAGGTGTACAAAACAATGCAATAGTTATGCTTTTCACCCCTCAAAAAGTGACAACCCCCCTTCCCCAATCTACTGCCCCCCCACCCCCAATATCATACATATCTATTACAATTCCATTGACTTCACTCCCCACACTGTACTCCACATCCTGTGATTTTGCCCACTTTTTAATTGAACAGCTTATCTTTTCCTTGAGTTGTAAGAATATATTAAATATTCTAGATACAAATCTGTTATCAGATATAAAATTTGCAAATATTTTCTTCCACTCTGTGGCTTTTTCTTAGTGATGTCTTTTAAAAAGCAAACATTTTTAAATTTTGAGGTCATTTATCAATTATTTCTTTTGACGATCATGCTTTTGATGTCAGAGCAAAGAAGTCTTTGCCTAACTTGACAAAGATTTTTTCTTGTTTTTTCTTTCAGAAGTTTTATAGCTTTAGCTGTTACATTTAGGCCTATGTTCCACTTGGACTTAATTTTGTGTATTGTGTGAACAGTCCAAGTTCATGGTCTTTTTTTCATATTGATGTCCAATTTCCCCAGCATTCTTTGTTGAAAAAAAACTTCCATTTGTCTTGGCAATTTTATTGAAAATCAACTGACCATGTAAGGGCTTATTTAAATTCCATTTCATTGATCTTTATGCCTATTCTCACACCAATAATATGGTCTTGATTACTGTAAATTTGTAGTACATTTTGAAATTGGGTA